GGAGGCTCAGGGAGAGCAGGAGGGCGGCGCCGCGCAGCGGGCGCTGGGGGGCCACCATGGCGCCTGTTGTGGACCGGGGGGGACAGCGTGAGAACACCCCTCCCGCCAGGGGACAGCGTCACCCGAGAGGTTCCTCTGGCCAAGGGACACCCCTCGTGAGGATCAGGCTTCACAAGGGACGCCCTTCACAAGGGACACCCTTTCCAAGGGACACCCTTCCATTGGACACCCCTCCCAAGGGACACCCTTCATGAGGAGCACTCTTCCCAAGGGACACCCTTCGAAGGGACACCCTTCCCAAGGAACACCCCTAATGAGGAACACTCTTCCCAAGGGACACCCTTCACAAGGGACAACCTTCCCCAAGGGACGCCCTTCACGAAGGACGCCCTTCCCAAGGGACACCATTCCCAAAGGACATTTTCCCAAGGAAGAATCTTCCCCAAGGAACACGCTTCCCAAGGAACTCCCCCTCCTGAGAGACCCCATGCCCAGGGAACACCCCTGCCAAGGAACACCCATCCCAAGGAACACCCATCCCAAGGAACACCCATCCCAAGAAACACCCATCCCAAGAAACCCCCTTCCCATGGAACACTCCTCCTCCAGAGGAACACCCCTCCCAAGCAACACCCCTCCCAAGGACCACCATCTCCAAGGGACCCCCTTCCCAAAGAACAATCTTCCCATGGAACACCCTTCCCAAGGGACCCCCCCYCCCAAAAAAAGACACCCTTCTGTGATCATTACCCGCACCTTTTACCCCACTTTTGCCCCACACCTTGCGTGCCCCCCTACACACACCCATAATGGGACTCTGTACCCCCTCCAGGACCCGCACACACGCATCCGCCTGTCCCAAGGAACACCCCATCACACACACACACACACACACACACACACGAAGCACTTACACCCCCGTCGCCCATGACGCACACACGGCTCATGCAGCACCCACACACGTGCACGCACAGCCGGCGCTGACACAACAGGCAACACCCGCCAACACCGCAGGGCCACGCACAGCCCGTGCCCGTGGTGCAGCCGTGCACACACACACACACACACACACACAAGCAACACCCTGACACCCACACAACCCGAGGGCGGCACGCACACCCACCGGCACCGGGGAGGGGAACAGGCGCACACGCACCACCGCGCACAAAGCACACCCCGAGGGGGTGAGCACAGCCGCACACTGCGCACACACCAACACGCACGACAACCCCCTGAGGGCAACAGCCTTCCCCCCGCACCACCGCAACCCCCCTCGCCC